GCAATTAATCGTCATCTGGGTAGATAAATTATTTTCAATTTCAACATATTGCTTTCTATTTGTTAAATAACTGGTAATTGTGAGTATAAGGCACAGGCAACCCAGAACACTTCATTTTCCCCTAATTTTTTGTGTGTTCCAATTGTCTTGAAAGTATTATTCCCCTTAATTTCTATTTTTAAGTTATTGTTATTACACACTCGAGGTTTGACGCGGGCCAAGGAAAATTATTAGCTATCCTCTCCTGAGATATAAATTTTAAAATGATAAGAACTTTTCATCTCTCTTTTCACCTATATAGAATTCAAGCCTGGATAATACTCGTGAGACTCAAATAAGGAATACACTTTCTATCAAGTATAACAGGGAGAACTTAATTATTGCAAGAGAGATTGAGCAAGAGGAATAAATTAAGAAAAACATGTCACTGATAAAGTACAAAGTTGACTACATTAAAATATTGTTCACCACTAGATTGTTGAAACTTTCCAGTACATATTACTTACTAAGCTTATAATCTTAAGTCTAGGTTCCTATTATTTAAAGTACATCTGAAGGCAAATAGAACCCCAAAATGAGGATGTTTGAAAGCATCAAAAATCAAAGCTACAAACGGCTGGTTTATATCAAAACTCAAATCTTCGACACAAATTCATGGAAATGTGATTAACAATAACCTTACTGACTAACCTCGACGCTCTGTAAAAGAAGACCCACTAAATAAGATGACACAAATTGTAAACCATGGCTCAGAACTTGGAATTGGATGATATCAAATGATTTTGAGGAAGTATTATTTCTCGCATTCAAGTGACGCGAAGGAGAGTGACGAACCGCATCGAATTAAACAAAATATTTAAATCAGTAAGACTGCTGAAAATACACAGGGAACCCGATACAGAGGCAAATAATTGGTCGATGGGGGGAGGGGGGGACGCGAAGGAGAGTGACGAACCGCATCGAATTAAACATAAAATATTTAAATCAGTMAGACTGCTGAAAATATCTTATAATAAACCGGGAACCCGATACAGAGACAAATGTTTGCGGGGGGAGGGGAGGGTTTGTTTTTTTGTTTAGGTGCAATTATTAGTCAGTGATAAACACTCCAAGCGATAAATAAAGTAAAAATTAATTGAATGTTTCTTTATTATGGAAACTTCATTTTCAATTTGCGAAGTGCACGGTTCTGTTGTTTCTAATGTACAAGTGCTAGCGGATTGTAAAGCAATAGCATCTCAGCAGAAACAAGGTGCCAAACTTGGTTGGAATTGAACAAATAAGGTTACTTCTTTTTCAGGGGGGAGGGGGTACTACAATTCAGAATTCAATTTATGTATTATTTATTGTTATCATGATTATATACCGTATTTACTCGTTTAAGCGCCGCCCCCGAATAAGCGCCGCTTTTATCCATACAAAAAACTTCGTTATTATTTATTATTAAACAGTCGTATTCACTTCGTATTAAATTATTGGTTACACATCATGTATATGGCTCCAGAACCATTCTTTTCTCTGTACTGTCTTCTTACGTCATGATTCACCAGAACGGATTTGTTTCGGTGCGAAAATAATGCAAAGCTATGTAATCGTGAATCCCGTGCACACCATTCATCTTTGTTCTATTAGTCTTAATTATGTAATCGATTTTCCGAGTGAGGTTTTAAAAGGACCTCTGTTAAGAATGAGTTTAATCTTTCGCCAGATTCTGAAAAGTAGACACGCTACCGGGTAAGTTCGTCCTTTCATTTAATTTCATTTGTATCAGTTAGCTCGATTAATTTAGACAATGTTTTAAGGCTTTTTTCTTTTGTACTGTCCTTCGCTTAGATTTCGAACTGAACGCTATCAAAATGTAAAAGGTTATAGTTAATAAAGAAAGTATTGGAAGTTCTGAAACCGTAGTTGTGAAGTGTTCGGCGAATCAGGATTACTTGTTTAATAGCAGGTAAATATGTAAATACGGTATTAAAAGATGAAACTGTGTTAGAAACGTCCGTTGTGAGTATATGGTTTTAGGTGAGCCAGAAGGGATTTATTAGATTTTGTAACCACTCCGCTGGAATAGAGGTTGCTAACTCAAGGTTACGAATCATCATCTACACATGGTTTTTTGATGTTTTTTTTTGTGTGTTTGCTGGCGTAGTTTCTATAACCAGTTTCTTATTTCACTCTCACTTGTTTGTGAAAACCTAGTTTCTTTGTTTTCCTATGTTTTACTTTCTTTGTTTTTACGTATATATACTTATTTACCTGAAAAGCTATAAAGCTGAGGCCGACAAGGATTATGGGCAGATACATTTTACATGTTTCAACCGCTAGATAACTGTTGATGGATTTGAGATCTTTTACCCGTTACAGTCTCAACTGTCCTGAGTATCCTCAAGCTGCAGTTTGTATCAAAAAAAATTCACTTGTTTGAAATGAATTGTTTCCCATGATCCTTAGTGATCTCAGCTTTCTAGGTTCTTGGTGACTAACTTTATTAAAATAAGTATTTATCTTTTAACTGAATGGATATCACTTCTATGTCTGATATCGGTCCTGCATGCACGTGACACATTTGAACCAATAACAGCGCTCGAAAATATATTGATCGTTGGGTTTTGCTGATAATCAAAAGTTGCTGGAGATTTGGCAGGAACCTTTTACAACAAAATGCACTTGTTCCAACTCTGAGATTTTCGATAGTCCTAGTTTGGTCTAGTGAAACTAATATAAACGAAAAGACGAGGCAAGGCTACAAGAACTCGTCAGCAAGTGCATTGGCATCACACTTGCAGAGTACATCATACAAATCTCCAATTGTAAGTCTTCTTTTGCGACAAACGTCTTCTAATATACTCTCTGCGGGGTTCTCCTTATTTCCATGAAACCCAAAATGGCAGCGACGAATGCCGAGGTGATCAGCCATTGTCTTCCACAAATCATTACCTTGGAAAAATAACATTTAACATGTGACATATTATTATAAAATTCTCATAAAGAGCCACACTCAATATGTACAAGAATATAAATGCAAAAATGTAGGACTGAATCACTTAGTAAGAGTCGAATGGCGTTCCTTAATGTCACGAACAGTCGAAATTAAGAGAGTCCCTTTCACAGTTACCTGCGCCATCTTGAAAGGTAGCCGTGCCGTTGCATCTAAGCGAGACAAACGGTGAGCTTGAAATGATATGATACAGACATTTTTCTAACACCTGGAACAATTATTCACATGTCTTCATATTACAATCTCACCATCCGTCTCGCTTCGATGCTAAGGCACGGCTACCTTTCAACAAGATGGCGCGCAGGGAACAGCAAAGAGGCGACTATTGCATAATGGTATAATATTCTTCTAAGCATCTCAGTAAGACTTCGTAATTTTTATTATTACAAATTTTTTGGTTGTCTGAAGGCTTGCCAAAATAATGTGCGACTCATGCAAGAAAATACACAGTTCCATCAGATGCTTAGCTTATGTTTATTTGAAATCGTTTCTTACCGCACAAAGATCGAGTAAGGTCTTCTAGTTTGCCGATCATGTCTCCCACTAGTACCTTTTCATTTGTAAGTGGCCCTGTGTTTAAACATTAGAACCAATCTTGGAATTACATTTTAATTTCTCCATGAAATACACATATAATATATCCTTTAAGCTTGGGTTTAACTTAATACCAGCTATAGTGCACGTATTCTTCTTTTTACAATTTTCTTTTGTTTCCCGGTAGACTTAATTTCATATACTACACCAAGGAAGTCTTAGAAGTCTTAAATGTCGTTCCAAGGATGAGGAAAACCCTGGGTCGAGTTGGCATTGCAGCCTATTTTTGGGCTGTTTAAGAATACATATTTTCAAGATGGCGTCTATTTCGTCCCCTGAAACATTCCCAAAATGCACTCAAATACCAACCTTTGAATGGCTAATTTTCAAGGAAATGACATGTTGTCTGAAATTGGAAAACATTACGCCACAGGCAGATGGGTGTATTCTTGATGCGCATGGTAACGAGTGAGAAATTGGTAACTCAAAGCAAAAATCTTATTTTCAGGGGGGTGGAATGGAAAGAAAAATGATATGTATTAAATGCCAATGAGAAAAATTATAAAAACAAAAACTTAATAAAAACGATTCTCAGAAAGACAAGGTTGTACATGCCACGTTAATAGTCTGTAATGGATGGTCCCATAAGTCAGAGACAAAGAAGAGATATGAGAGTCCCATTACACTAACCTGTCATTCCACTTGGAAGCAAAYCCCTTATTTTCTTTACAATATCATCTCTTTCATTGCTTTTCAAGTAAGAGCAGAATTCTCTACATCTCACCACAATTTCTTCCGATGGATTATTCATTGAAACCTTGTCTAGATTTAGTAAATCTGCAACTTTTGAAGCCGCTTCATTGGTGTCAATCGTTGCAAGACTTAAATCTTTAAAACAAATCTCCAGCTCTTTGCAAGAAGCAGCTAAAATTGAACGAAGATGCAAACAAAAATGTAAGAAAAGAATGAAGAAAGAATGAACAAAGAATGAACAAAGAATGAACAAAGAAAGGAAAGAAGGAAAGAAGAGGGAAAGTAATGAAGCGATTGAGATGGTGAGTCAGGGTGTTAAGCTATAAGTAAACGAATCAAAGAAAAATAAATATTATTTGTAGTCACCTTTAGAAGCAGAGGTCCTCTTACTGGGGCGATCTTCAGTTTCACTGCTACACAAACCTGTTAATACGAACCTTTTGTTTTCATTTTTGGCAAAGAGAAAAACTCCGATCCCATAATACAAATGAATAAACCATGAAGCAAAAGATAGAAAATGAAAAATACATAAAAAGCAAAGGGAACGAAAGGAAAGGGAGAGTTCACTGCAACAATATGTGTTCAGGCACTTGAGGGACTAATTGTAATGGTGCTGAAGGCGGCATATAGTAGATTACACTTGTGAGGACGAATGTTACATTTTTGATGGCCTCGTGTCGGTTGCCAAACAAGTTCCGAGAATGACTTGAACTACAAGCTAGAAGCGAAGTGGATAAACTGCCTACAATTTAATTTATTTTTATCCAAAAATACTGCAAACAAGGAAAAAGCACCAGAATTAAGCCAAGACTTTAACTTAGAAATCCATCCAGTTCTGAGAAATYAGGGGATTGATCACTCAAGCTTCCATTGATGGGTTGCAAGCATTCCCAAGAAGAAAGTTTTATGAAAAAGACTAAAGCAAGGCGGCCATTGTGTTGCCGTTAACAACGGATGCTAATAAGAAARCTTTTGTTGAATRGCACAAACGCTCCTCCGAGAGGCCGCGATGACGTAACGTGGAATCGAAGAATTGCTGGCTTTCATAGGCGCCRTTTTGGTTGAATATAGCATTTTCTAATGTTTTAATTAGCACCTTCTGTTGTGTCAACTCACATGGCTTTCATGTGCTTTCTTGCTGTAGCAACAATGGACCCTTTTTAAAATTATCTTGGATACGAGGCTAGCGTGAAAATACAAAGGAAATGAAACAAATTCCATCGAGAAAARGCGTGATTTCTTTTGTATTTCCATGTTAGCCTCGCATCCACGATACTTTTAAGAAGGGTCCATTTTAAAGACAAAAGACATCAGTAGCTATAACTAGATTTAAGCACTAATGGTAAAACTGTTTATAGTTACTTTACCAGAAGGTCCCGGAGGGGCGCTTTCAAGTCCAACAGTCTCTTTTGCTATATCAACCCACGTGGCCTTCATGTGGACCAGAAATGCCTAAAAAAAACAAAGCGAAAACCAAAACCAAAACCAAAACCAAAACCAAAACCAAAACCAAA